CTTTGGGGGGGGGGGGGTGTTCGGTGTAGTGTTTCAGGCTCAATGCAAACGAAGCCGTTTCCCAGACCTTTCTTAATCCCTTCATCAAGTTCATCTAGGAATATACCTGAAAGCATACTCAGGATCCTGCTGTAATTTCTGAAATCTATTACTTAAATTATAGTAGGGATCCTACTACATATATAATTTGAGGTCAGTTTAGGTTACATGTGTATATATGTATATATATATATATATATTTATTTATTTATTTATTTATATATTCCGTAAGTAAGGGATATTGGAGGGTCTGGGTTGGCAATCCCGTACTGCGGCCTTCCCAAATCCTCCGGAAAGATGCGCTCAGGTCAGTGAGATCCCATGACGACCTAATTCACTTCATGCAGGCCCTGCCCTTCTACAGCGTGTGAGATGTTTAAGTTTAGGGCCACATCGGGGTGTGGAGTGAGATTTTTGGGGGCCCACATCAGGGTTTGGTTTGGACGGCGGCTTCAATGAGCAAGGATGGGAAGGCCCCCAATCTTACATATGTACTACTTCCAGATCCTTTTTTCGGTTGGCGCTGGCAAAATGGAGCATCGCCAGCAGTCGGATATCCACAAATGGCTACTGTTTTGAATCTTGTGCTGTGAATGTGTGCTCGGGTGTCACAAGGGCACAGCAGTTTCGAGGGCAAGTCGGAATCACTTGCAAGAGAAGCACCTACATCATGGCGGCCGACAGGAATGCCAGTGGCAGTCTGCCGTCAATGTAGGAGCTTCGGCATATAGAAGATTATGCTATGGCCACGTTGTGCATATGTGAGTGTCAGAAAAATGAGGAACCCGAACATAGAACCCTAAAGCTGCAGGTTTCTTATTATCAGAACGCCTCATAAGGTCCTAATAGGCCTGATCTATGAGACCCGTGTATCACGGTCTGGAGTTGGGGTCTACCGGCATCTGCCTTGTAGATGCTTTTTTTCATGAGAGGGACCAACATGCGTGGCAGCCCAGGGGTCGGCCAAAAGCTTTATCGAGATGTACCTTGAGAAACCGAGAACATCCACCGGCAGTAGATGTAAGGCAGTAAGATAGGGGCTTCGCTAACTACTGATTGTGTGCCCTAGCGTTCCTGGTTATACCTATACTGTCATGCACCACGAAACGAAACCTTGTTCTAATTATGAAGGTCCCTGTGCTAAAGGTCACATTAACCTGTTCAGAAGCCTTTAAAGGAACCCTGCAAGTGAGCCCTGGTCAAGATTTTAGGAACCCTACAGTACTCCTCCTGCGGCCCGAACCCTCAAACCTAAACTTCTAACGATTGGCAGACACCAATTGGGCAAGAAAGAACAAAAAGCCCATACCAATTGTTAAGGACTCTAAACCCTGGGACGCTACATCCGAAACCCCTTATAGCACGCCTTGCAGAACCCTTAAAGGAAACCTTGCAGCATCCTCCTGGAACCCAAAACCCGTCTAGTAAACCTTGTAAAATCCTTAAAAAGGAAAACTTTGTAGTATCCTCGTAAAAACCTAAGCCCTAAACTTCCTAAACCTCTACATAGATCGTTAGCCATGCGAGAGGGAAACAAACCTCTACATACTTCGATGATTGCCACATCCAGGAGTGGCAGCCCGACTGCTCCCCCGAGGCCGCCAGTAGGTTAGGCGGTTAGGCTTTAGGATTTTAGTGTGTTTCAGGGCTTTAGGTGGTTTGAGCATTTTAGCGTTTTAGGGGTTAGGGGTTTGGGTAAGTTTGGGTAAGTTTGGGTTTGAGGATTAGGGCCTTGATCTGGGCGAGGAGCTGGTAGCAGGAGGTGGGGTGCAGGGCTGAAAGCAAGCCTCCCCAACGTTGGGAAGCAGCTTGCGACGGAGTAGCCGGATGTATTGCTCCACGGAGAGCTTTCAAATATGGTATGTACGAAGCGCTAAAAATCACTAAGCCCCTAAAAATAGCCAGTCCCAAAAGCCTTGTAAAATGTCCAAACGTATAAGGGCGACTATGAGGGTTGAGGGGCTTCATTCAGTAGAACAGGATTTGCGAAAAGACTGTGCTATAGTCAGACTGAGGAACCCTGATACATGGTACTGCAGACATTCAGGTAACTAATGTTGCCCAAAAAGGGTGTCCTTCTTATACCGCGCTGCTATGCTCATATGCGGGCTTCGTCCGGAAAAAACCCTAAACCCGAAGCCCTCACTTCTCAGCAAGTAAGTAGTGCGATTAGTAGGGGAATAGCTATAGCTACTTAATTAAATACTTCTACCCCTAGTTAAGGATCTTGGCATTAAGCTGTATAGGTCCGCTGCAGAACCCATACTGGAAGTCTGCAAGTTGTGCAGACGGCTTCCTGCCCTGCCCCCTGCGAGCCAAGGAAAGACCCGAGTGTAAGGGCCTTACAAATGGAGCGTTTGCTTTTAGGGTGGTGTTCAGGAGTGTCATAGGAGTGTTATGGTTTAAGGTTTAGGGTTTGGGGTTTAGGGGAGCTTTACGGAGCTGAAAATAGTGGCCTTCAATAGAACAGCGTTTGGGCATGTAGTTCTGCAGACTTCTATGAGGACGAGAAAGGGGGATGCTATTGCGAATTATTCAGCCCTAAACCCTATACCCTACACTCCCACAGCTTGAACCTTTCACAAGTCTCACTGTGCGGCACCTTGGTTGACTTCACTGTTTCAGCCTTCCTGGTCTGTAAACCCGCCACAAACCTAGGGTTAGGGGTCTTGGGTTGTAACAGTCAGACTGTATTCCCGTAGTTCGGGTGATCGGCACTTGTACTTAGACTTGCCTTGCATTCTACCATAAGTCTCTTGATCCGCAACCCCAACCACGAACGAGGATCATGCTGCCGACTGCGAACCGTGAGCCTCATCTGTCTAGTCCTGGGGGGAAGAGCTTCCATCAGTCGACGGTACCCCTAAACCCTAGAGAATCCCATAATCCCTGAACCCTCTCCTAAACCCTAAACCCTCAAAAAGTACTTTCCCTCCTGCTCGCAGGTCATTATACAGACCGCCTACCACCCTTCCCTTGCGGGGTCGGGGCCCCGACTCTCTGGTGCGGTGAGACGCCCTTTTCTGCGAGGCGAAGACAAGGCCTTCAAAATATAGGAGTTTTTTCGGGTTTAGGGTATCACGAATAACCTTTAAAGCACCGCCCTGACGCATGACGAGAAAGAAGCCGAGCACGCGAAAAAAAAAGGAAGCTGAACCTTGAGAAGCAATCTCCATTGAGGAAACACTGCCGCGGAAAAAAGCCAGAAGTGTTGATACGATCCGAATGGCTGCAAGCTCCTGGCCTTAGCAGTCCCGT